TTCCCGATTAAACAGTACAACATATTTGAGGCGTTCTTTTGCAGAAACAGATATTTCCGTTTGTGTTTTCTTATCCTAAATCTGGTTCTTTTTGTGCGCTGCAATGATTTAAAATTTTTTTGCGCACTTCAGGCGCATCAATCAAACGGGTGTTTGTTTATACAGAAAGGCTTTAAGCCTATAATACTCAGAGTTAATATTTGATATATATATAACAGTAGGCCTATTCATTTCAAACTGTTTCATTGAGTTGCTGTTTCACATTTCACCAGTTTATGTGCGTGCGCATGGTTCAGAGTTTGCGTGGAGGACCGCACACTCATCGTCAAGTTTGCTTTTTATACATCACAACCTTTGAGTGGGAAGTGGTGTATGCACGTTTCCAGACCCGTTTTGTATGTCCACACCGTTTATAAATGAGACCCCAGGTCCATTTGTTTTGGGAGGAGACGGCGATGGTGGTAATTTAGCCCCCGGTAGAAACACCAAAGGAAACTTAAACTGAAAACAAACTTAGCACCTAAACTCAGCTAAAGTTAGCAGCAGTAGCTCAGCTGTAAACACACAGCAGAACGCGCTGCACACCGGCTGCTAGCAAGGTTATTTCCAACATGGATTTGCCAACCAATCAGTAGTCTGCAGTGTTTTCACTTCACCTTTTAGTAGACTAGGAACCTCGACAGAGGTGATACAAAAAAAGTAACAGGTAGCAGGTATAACTTTTCCTAATGGAAAAAAGACAAGTGGTACCATGTGTAGGAAAAGGGGCAATAGACCCCATACTTCTCTTGTCCTACACTGACATCCAGTTAAAGAGTAAGTCTATGGAGAACCAACCATAATCCTCCAAGCTTGGAATTGAACATTGAGCTCTGTTGCACCCAAATCACATTCACTCTCTCATTCTTTACCTTGAACTTAAAATAAACAGAAAGACATAAACAACTCAGCTCTCTTCTTAGTTCATAGGGATGCCCAACCCATTACCAGTGAATGACTGATTCCATAGCAAGATAGAAAAATTACTATGCATTACATGCAGGGAGAAGAGACACAAGGAGCTTAAAACCACAATGTGTTCCCAGAAGGTCACTATATGAAACCAAGGTAGAGATGCGCAGCAGAGCATGATGAGGGAAAACTCAACTTTCTAACATTGACCCGAGCCCCGCACATCTCACAGCTCCCTCTGATGTATGTCAAACAGCTTTTTATTTTGTTTTTTACCCTCAGACATCAATAGATTCAGACTCCTCATATCTGCTGATAAAATGTTATTTCTCAGAGATCTGTCTCCCAGCAGCTTGTGGAATAGAAGTCTCTCGTGAACCACCAAGTGCTCAAGTGAAAACCAGGCACAAAACAGTATCCACAAGCGGAAAATTATTTTTAGTTCATAATAAAAGCCAACTCGTGGTTTGTCAGTTAAATGCTTTTAATGAGAAGAAGCAGCAGTAGGAAATGTTTGGTTTGCAGTAACTTAATACAGCATTTTTTCCTGGTATGTTGCACCGACACCCAGTTTGTAATACTGCAAGTGCAAGGGATTTCACGAGTGGGCCATAGGCTCATTCATTGTGTTACCTTATTCAGTGAATGATTTAGATAGTGATTTAACTCGAAATTTTTACAGCATTTTTCCATTTTTTGAAATTGCAAACAAAACTCAAAAATTATGGACATTACCTGTAAATGAACAACCCAACTGTTATTTTACATGAAATGTCAATAATGACAAATTACATTGTTTAAAAAAAAAATTACATACACATGTATGTAAAATGACAATAGTTCTTTGTAAATCAATGAATGTAGCTCATTATATAAAGGATTATATATACTAACAATTTAATGTTTTTCTTCATAAATTTTAAACTAAAACAGGCCTTAAAAACTTGTGTGGAAATATATATGGTATATTCTGTAGCTTGTGTGTGTGTAAGCCTTTAGGTATTTATCAGTATTACATTTTTTTTCATACACTGCAATAAAAACACAATTTGATCAATTAATTAAATGCAACTTACAAATAAAACTAAATAAACATTGCTTCTGTCTTTTAACACAAGTTATCTTTTATAGTTGCCATGACACAACGCCGAAACTATTTGTATTGGCTGTCTCACCGCCACTGTCTTTGAGTATAATTGGTTAGTCTGACATGTTATTCAGACTGTGTGCACCTCTCACTGGTCAAGTTTGAAAATACATCTAGGTGTGCTGCTGTTCCGCACTGCTTGTGGCTGTCACCTGGATTATCTGCCTGCCGAATTCTTATTTGGCATTGGATGCATCAATACATAACGTCCAAGAGGTTCTCAGTTGGATTCAGGTCTGGGAAACATGAGGGCTAGTCAATAGCATCAATGTAAATGTATATGCTCTGTATTTGTATAGCGCCTTTCTAGAGTTTGCGACCAGTCAAAGCGCTTTTACACTGCAAGTGCTCAAACAGAAGCTAACATTCACACACATTCATACACTGGTGGAACAGCCAGGGTTCAGTATCTTGCCCAAGGACATGTCATTTTATAGGGCTCTGCAGTGCTCCTGTTCCTACTTGCACAAAGGAGCAGAATCCGGTCATGTTGCTGGGTTGATGCCGCTCTACTGCCCTTTCCTGCCCTCCTCGTGTAACGGCCCGTCTCCTGGTTTTTCCTCTATGCTCTTGAGTCTGTAACTGGGAGACACAGCAGACCTTGCAACGGTACGTATGGAGATGCCATTCTGGAGAGCTGGACTACCTGTGCACCTGAATGGGCTGCAGGTACCGTCTCATGCTACCAGTAGTGACAAGGTCACTAGCAAAACACAAAACTAGAAAGCAATCACTCAGGGAGGATACGGAGAGAGAAATTGTCTTGGCCACCACCTGCAAAACCATTCCCTTTTTTTGGGGTTGTCTTGCTGTTGCCTGTCCAGTGTACCTGTTGTTACTTTCATTTGCACCAAAACAAGTAACACTGATTCACAATCACTTGTGCTTCCTAACTTTCCAAACTTCAGTTTAACTGACTTGATGTTATTCTGATCTGATGAAGTTTTAGCAATGTATTTAATATAAAGTACATATATAACATGATCATATACAGTACATATATACAATTATATTGTAGTGTCCGAACAATAATGCTGCGATGATGTGTTGAGAGGAAACCCGCTTGACACTGTTCTTGATCATAAAGTTTATTAAATCAAGGAGTTCAGCATCAATTACAAGCTCTGCAGCAGCTTGGAGAGTGACCCAGCCCGATGGCCACTCTGTCTCTCTGTTCATCAAACATAGCTTATATAGGATATGTTTAGGTATCTGTTAGGTACCATAGAGGGGTCTGAGTCTGCAAAATAAAAGGTCAAACCCATAGAAGGGTACAGTACTATTCTGAAGTAACAAAACAAGGGGTTAGAGGTCAAATTCTATAGAAGGGTTCAGTCCCTACATAACCACCAATCACTGCTCTCCCCGTAGAAGGTCACTGACCCTCTGTCCTGCTGCTACAGTGCTATTTTGAACTGTTATGAGTCAAATGCATAAATATTGGATACTTCAGTATATACAGTACATATATAACCTGATATAAACAGATTACAGAAACTCTTATCTATCCATATCTGAAAAGATATCCTCCCTAACATCAACAGATTTTGAGCTAAATGTACAAATATACCAATTTAATAGATGAAAAAATATTTTTCCTTAATATGAAGGCTAATATAAAACATATACGAGTAATATTATGTCAAATGATGGCAGATCTGGATAGTCCTGACTGTCCTGAAAAAATTAACATATAGCATGTATGGCTGCCTCTTACAATTGACTTCACACAAACCTACTGTACAGATACTGTAGGGCAATAATGGCAAAAACAATGATTGTCCCAAAAAAATTGTAAAGCTACTCATTTGAAATGGTTATCATGTTTTAAAGTATGTACACATATATACATACATATATATATATATATATATATTTGGACCCTACAAACAAACTGGTACCAAAGAGATTTTGCCACATTAGGTGATACCAAATTCCAGCTTGGCATATGGACTATATGTATGCCGACACTGATACCTGCTAATTATTGCTACAATTTCACTCACCAACTGGAGCACAGGCTTCCTGGTGGGTCTCTCTCTCTATTATTCGTTCGGTATCTGCATGAAGAAATCTCCAAAAGGCACAAACACGACAGAGATGGTGATCTCCGTGACTGTAATAGCTGAGTGAGGTTAACTGTTAGCAGTGACTGTACCAGCAGCCACCTGTCACTCAAAGCGGCCATGCCCCTAACTATGCAGAACTGTATAGGCTTCATATAATTTACACAGGTGAGTTACAAAAACATTCACCCCCCTCACAGTTGTCATGAAGGACAAAATTAGCTATATACACAAAAAATATTTTTTGAACCAAGCTGTAGACATGTTTTTTTCTGCTGTAAAGTTGGGTATTTTAACATGTTGGGGATTTGATCTCTTTTATAGCCAGGCTCAAGTGGCTGCTTGATGAGGGGGTTTATCAAGAGGTATGTTGAGCAGGCCATCATTTCACGAATTACAGGTATGTAGGCTATTTGATCAATAGAGGCAGAACAGCAGAAGGATGGATGCCCAAGAAGTTCTAACAATGATATGAGTGTTAAATTTGTTCATTATGTTGTTGTTTGTTTGTTGCTGCCTTGATTAACTTGAAAATGTTGGATATTTGACTGTGATGAAAATGAAGCAACTAAGAAATTAACAAACCCAATAACTCCCACACAGCTGAGGTCTTCATTTTGTTTTCCCTTTGATGTGAACTGGAGCATTACGTTCACTGCTGTGAGCAGAGGTCAGGCATGTGAATAAAAACTCAATATTCAAATCCTAAAATTGGAAATCGAATGCGCACCCAACGATCGAATATTTGAATCTTTGAGTCAAGCCCTAGAAATCACACCCTTGTCATTCACTTGTGCATCCAAACATTTGTGACAGGTGTGTTGTTGTATTAACAGATAATGATCGGAGAGGCCATCCTGTTCTGCTGTCTTTCTCGGAGGAAGAGTGGTGCCGGGGCCGAGGCCAACATCAATGCTGCTGGCTGCAACTTCAACTCCTTCATCCGCAGAGCCGTCCGCTTCGTTGGTACACAGGTTTTTTTTCTTTTTGTACACTGGCCTGAAAGTTTGGTAACTGACTGATGATTGTTTTTGCAGGTTTTTCTTATGACTCATTTGCAAGATAAGGCAAATAAAATCTTCAGCAATTGCTTAGCTTTTCCACAGAGCAAGAACCAACATTTAGACAGACATTTTGTGTACAATTGATGATCAATTATAATTAAACAACCACCTCACTACTGCCTTACAAGAATTACAATTACACAAAAATAGCTATGGACACTGCGGCTGGTGCATTATTAAGCCACATAAATTTTATAGCCTGCAACTGTAATAGCAGAATAAAGTAATACCACTCAACCTCTCTGTGCTCTGTGCTCTTAAAAACGTCACGTCACAGCTGTGACAGAGATTACTGTCACAAACAGCAGAATGGCCTCACACACCTCAAGGAAGTTAGAAGATCCTAAGCAAGGGTAGTCACCGCAACTGCAACATCGTGGGAGTGTTTGATTTGGGTCACTTGGCGTGCTCGCTGGTGGTGCATTAAATCAGTAATTAAAGTAGATGTAGGGCTGTCATGATAACCGCAAAACTGAAATACCGCGCAATTGGCCAAGCCAACCGCAAAAGATGGCAAGCACCGCAACAACCACAATGTTCATACTTTCTTGCTTTACACTTTATTGTGTGTCAAATGAATAAATTAATGCTTCATGAATTCCACAAGCATAATGAGCTCCGTTAACGGTTCAATTCGCCATGGGCTATATGTGACCAGACTTCAAATTTGGAAGCTGTATGTGTTGCCGTGTTGTGTGTTGTTTGAATGTTTATTTTGTAGGTTAGCTAACTTGGTGTTAGCATGTTGCACAGCTAATATGGCTAGCAGGCTCGACGATGTTGGACTAATGTTGTAATACTGAGGGAGAGTCAAGAGAAACTGAGCGGCAAGCAACACTAACTAATGAGCGTATTATGTGGGATGCCTGCAGCTGTTCTTCATGTTGCTTTCTGTGGAACTTTAGTTATAACGTTACCACAGCGTAGTTGTTAGCTCTTTCTAGTGTATTGCCCTTAAAGGAACGCTATGTGCGAAAAAGACACGGTCAAACTATAGGAATGATTTTGCTCGACAAAACTTTGACTAGCACCCAGCCGCTTGCTTGCTCAGACCATAAAGTTGCAGTTAACGACTCGCTGTGAGATCCATAGACACACCCCAGAGGAAAAATCTTTTTCTCAGAATAGTATTTTCTTTAACTCTTGAGAAAACACTAAGATCTCAATAGTATATCTTTTTGAGATCACTCCAATCTGAATTGTTGCTCCTAAAACCCTTTAGGAGAAAAGGATGAGATGAAGAGAGATTGAGGTTTTGAGATTTAGGTAAGACAGCTGGATACTGAATTGAGATTACAATATTATAAGCTCACAGCGGGCTAATGAGGACAGGTTTAATGCAGGAAACATGGAATGATCCTGAGGGAACGGGGAAGCTTAAGGCGAACGGTGACAGGATTGATGATCTTCTCCACAGGGAAGGGGACGATGAACCTGGGTGACAGTTTCCTAGAATTGGTCTTCAGGGGCAGATGTTTAGTGGAGAGCCATACCTTGTCGCCCACGGAATATTTCAGGGCCGGAGAGCGCCGACGGTTGGCCTGATCTTGATATCAGCCTGAGGCCTGAGGCAGGGATGCACGGGCTCGGGGCCATGTCCGGTGGCAGCGTCGGATGTGGGCTTGGACTGAAGGTACCATGACGTCCCTTTCCTGAGAGGGAAACAGAGGTGGTTAAAAACCATATAGGCACTGAAAGGGGGACAGACCTGTGGCTGAGTTGGGCAGGGTGTTGTGGGAAAAATGTGGGCATATTCGACCCAGTGGAGTTGGGAGGCCCAGGAGGAGGGATTGGAGGAGACCAGGCAGCGAAGGGTCTTCTCCAACTCCTGGTTGGCACGCTCGGCTTGACCGTTGGACTAAGGGTGGAAATCGGAAGTTAGGCTCACTGTGGCGCCGATGGCGAGGCAGAAGGATTTCCAAAGAGCTGAGGTGAACTGAGGACCACGATCCGAGACAATATCACAGGGCAGACCATGGATACAGAAAATCTCTTTAGCCAGGACCTCAGCAGTAGCTTTAGCAGAAGGAAATCCAGGTAGGGGCAAAAAATGAGCAAATTTAGTTAATCGATCAACCACAGTGAGAATGACAGTGTTACCATCAGAAGTAGGTAGGCCAGTGATGAAATCCAAAGCGATGTGAGACCACGGGCGTCGAGGAACAGGGAGAGGGAGAAGCAGTCTGGTGCTGGGTTGATTATTCTGGGCGCAGACGGAACACGCAGAAACAAATGACTTGGTGTCTGCCTCCATAGTGGGCCACCAGAAACACCTGCGGAGAAAGGCTAAGGTGCGAGAAGGTGGAACAAAGGTGCCGGGTGGAGCATTGCCAGGACCTGGGTCATTCCAGAGAACCTCTCTCACCTCTTTTTCAATGCTCCAAGTGATGGCTCCGATGATGCAGGAGTCGGGGCAAGATGGTATCCGAAACTGGGGTCACGTTCTCCTTGTTGAAGGCTCTGGATAGGGCGTCGGGTTTGATGTTTTGAGAGCCGGGTCTGTAAGTCAAAGAATTTAAAACACCCAAAAAACAGAGCCCACCTGGCCTGACAAGAGTTCAGTCATCTGGCGGATCTGATGTATTCCAGGTTTTTGTGATCGGTCCAGACGACAAAAGGATGCTCAGCCCCCTCCAGCCAGTGGCGCTACTCTTCCAGGGCTGACTTCACTGCCGGCAGCTCCCTATTACCAACATCGTAGTTGCGCTCTGAGGGGGAGAAGCGGCGGGAAAGGAAGGCACAGGGGTGAAGTTTGCTGTCCTCAGCAGAACGCTGGGAGAGAACAGCTCCCATCCCAATGTCCGAGGTGTCCACCTCCATGACACACTGCCGAGACGGGTCAGGTTGAACGAGGATGGGGGCTGAGGAGAAACAAGACTTGAGCTCCACGAAGGCGTTCTCTGCCTCCGAGGTCCAGGAGAAGGGTCTGTTAGGGGAAGTGAGAGAGGTTAGAGGCGCAGCTACACGATAAATCTCCGGTAAAAGTTAGCTAACCCAAGGAACCTCTGGAGCTGTTTTCTGGTTGTTGGGCTGGGCCACTCTTGTACCGCTTTTACCTTGGATGAGTCCATCATGACCCGCCCCTTGGTGACAACGTAGCCCAGGAAGGAGACAGTGGAAACGTGAAACTCACTTCTCTGGCTTGGCAAACTCTCCAGTAATCTCTGCAGGACCTGCCAGACATGTTCAGTTTCATTCTTAGAGAAGACCAAGTCCTCATCAAGGTAGACATAAACAAAGCGGCCTAGCATATCCCTTAAGACGTCATTTAAGAGGCACCGAAACACAGCCGGTGCATTTGTCAAAATGAAGGGCATCACCAGATATTTGAAATGGCCCAAGGAGGTGTTAAACGCCGTTTTCCATTCGTCCCCCTGACGAATTCTGACTAGGTGGTAGGCGTTACGAAGGTCAATTTTGGTGAAAATGGTCGCTCCCTGCAGGGAATCAAAGGCTTCGGACATGAGAGGTAAGGGGGTACCTATTTTTAACGGTGATATTGTTGAGGCCCCGGTAGTCAATGCACGGGCACAGGCTCTTATCCTTCTTTTCTACGAAAAAGAAGCCTGCCCATAGGGAGGAAGAGGAAGGTCTAATGATTGCAGCGTCCAAAGAGTCTTTGATGTATTTTTCCATGGCTTCTCATTCAGGTCTGGATATGTTGTAAAGCCTACTGCTAGGTAGGGGGGCGCCTGGCAGCAGGTCTATGGGCGCAATCATAGGGACGGTGGGGGGGGGGGCAAGGTCAGGGCTTGTTGTTTACTGAACACATCTTGGAGATCATGTTAAACTGGGGGAACGTGAGCCAAGTCAGGAGTAAGGGCTGAGGAGCTGGGTACAGGGACTGACTGAGGTGAGGCTGATCTAAGACACTCCAAGTGACAGGTGGGGCTCCAACTAGTGATCTTGGCTGGGGACCAATAGATACTGGGGTTGTGTTTAACTAACCAGGGGTGCCCAAGAATTAACGGAGTGTGAGGGGAGTCAATGATGAACAAGCTAATCTGCTCATGATGGTTACTGGAGAATTGGAGCTGGAGAAGTTCTGGAGTGTGGGGCTCGGGAACGAGTGCTGTTTGCGATCTCTGTTAATCGTCTCTCTCTCCTACGTTCCCGGCAGCGGTTATCTATGCGGAAAGACAGAAATTAATTCATCCAAATTAGAGCTCTCAGGGTAAGAAACAAGACCTTTAACTGTTCAGTCAAACCGTGGAGAATACAGAGATCAGTGATTTGTTGTTCCAGCCACCTTCCATAGCCAGGGTCCGGAATTTGATGGCATATTCCGCCACGCTGCGGCTCCCCTGGCGCAGGTGTAGCAGTCTCTTGGATGCCTCATTACCTTTCACCGGGTGATCAAAAACCTTCCGCATCTCGGTGATAGCCGAGCGCCTCTCCCATGCCGCGGTTGCCCACTCGAGCACCTCACCCCGGAGAAGCCAGATCAGGTAGGCGATCTTAGACCCTTCTGTGGAGTAGGTTCTGGGCTGCTGATCAAAAACGAGACCACACTGGAGTAAGAAGGCATGGCACCGACCTAGATTCCCATCGTAAATTTCTGCAGAGAAGGCCCAAACGCAGATCTGAGTTAGACAGTTTATTCGGAAGAGAATGAGCAGGGGAAGTCAGAGGTTCGAGGCTGAGGCTCTCTCCCAGATCCGGGGTAGGGGGGGAATCCGATAGCGGGGAAGTGTCCAAGCTGCAGGCAGAACCGAGAGCTTACAGGCTGGCGGTTTGCTGAGGCGGTGGAGGTCTTCTGAGACAGAAAAACAAAGGTTAGACTGATGCAAACAATTCTCACGATGCAAGACAGATTCTAAGGTTGGCTGGGGCTGATAAGACATACGTGTGGAGATTCAACAATCCGGCGGGGACTGAATTTCTGAGCCTCCTATTTGAGCCGTGGCTGATTGTGATGGTGCGCTGATTGAGGATGAGTCTCAGGTGAGTGCAGAGCCCGCAGCAGACACGCCCCCAGCTCCCAGACTGGCGAGAGAGAGAGCCAAGCAGAGACAAACAAAACACGCTCACCACACGCACTCCAGACAAACATCCACAACACTCGCACCAGGCTCATAGCCGGGCCCTCGTGACACCCAGGAAGCATAGCTGAGTTGTCTTTGAGCTCTTTTTCTGATCTCATGGTCCAATGTTCAGGAGACTTAAATAAGACTTATTTAAGATCAGTTAGAGATCTCTTGTTTTGATCAGAGTCAGACATAAATGAGATTTTATATGGTTGTTTCTCCTGAGATGAATTTAAGAAGTGGGAGAAAAGGCCTTTGGTTTCATCTTGGTATTAAAAGCAGCTCATTTGTGTCTAGGAGAAAAGAAGGAAACAACTATGACATCTCATCTTGGATTTTGCTTTCCTATACTTCCTATGCAATATGGCACAAAAACAAAACAAAAATGGAAAACTACAGAAGCCCTAAGCGGCCATCCATTCTAATATTTATTTGTCTCACTTTTCCCGTGATAACGGGATAATTATCTTGTGATCTCGAGATAAAGACTGTTGTTTCCCCGTGATGACAGGATAGTTTTCTCGTAATAACAAACCCTAGCTGAATATAGGGATCCGCAGGTGCGTTTCTTTACGATAATTTTGGAACACTTTGCAGGGTGACAGGTTAGCTTAGTAAAGAATAGGATTTGTAATTCAAGGGTTGCTGGTTTGACTCATGCTCCCAACAACTGTTTTTTCTTCTTTTGTGGTTTTTGTTATCATCTTTAGCAAAGTTGTTATGAAGAGATTCAGGGGGATCCAATCACACATTTCCTGACGGCTATTTCAGGAAATGTGCAATGTTAAATGGATTCCCCTGAATGAGAAGCACAGGAATTTCCTCTGGATGAGAATGATGGGGAAATGAAAAGTCCGTAGGTTGATTGTGAACTCTGTTGAAGAGGATTGTGAAAAAGACAAATAGGAAAAAACAGTTAATCTTCTGTGAGGATCAAACCCACAACTTGAAGTGTATGAACCCTGTGCTCTATCAACTGGGCTAACCAGTGACACTAACCCTCAGAGAGAAATTACCATTAAACCATGAAGTTGCAAAGTAGAATACCTAGTAATAAAAAATCACAAGTTACTGATTTTAAAAATACAAAAGTACAAGTACACAAAAATACAACTTTGTAAGAGTAGCGCAATGTAATGCATTACTCCCTGTTGTTTTAAATGTGTATGCATGTCTGTATGTCTTACAGACAGCAAACATTAACCCCTTGATGCCTGAAATTATTTACAGTAAAAAAAATATTTCTGTTTTCATTTGCTTTCAGGTTGATGTTAAATTAAGTGGAAATTGTAAATTTGTCTATAGAACATAGAAAAGACATAAATTCAGGTATGAAGCAAATTAGCGACAACAGGCATAAACGAGAAACCAGTGCTTGCAAAAGGTTCCCAGATACATATCAAATATGCACAAACAGGCATTTGGGGAATACAAACGCTATCTCAGCTGCAGTCTGAAAGGAAGAGGTGTGATGCGAATTTATGACAATCGGCATTAAGGGGTTAAAGCAACTGCTATCAGTGTAAGTGTGAATTGTATACAATGTGTCTATCAACTATAAAAACTATGTGTTTCAAATTAGACTGTAATGTTTTAGACTTAGACCTATATTGGCTCTGTACAGCACATATAACAGTGATATCAGTAGTATATCAAAGACAGCAGATGTAAAACAGCCTTTTGGCTAATTCTGGCACATATACATTATTTATGTATAATTAGTGTGCATTGTCCCTGTTCAATAAACCTGAGATAAATAAATAAGTGTATGCCTCTGTCTGTATTTTCATCTTCTTTGCCAACATTTACATTACATCCTCCTCTGTCCTCAGGCGTTCATGCCTTCGGTCTTTGTGCCACGGCCCTCATCACCGACGTCCTCCAACTGATGACAGGTTACCCAACACCCTACTTCCTTACTGTGTGTAAACCCAACTACACCACGCTCAATGTCAGCTGTGAGCAGAACCCCTACGTCATGGAGGATATCTGCTCAGGGGCTGACCCTGCAGCCATCAACCAGGGCAGGTGAGGATGCATTTGAGAAGATATGTTTGCATTGAGAAAGATAGAGACACCCACTGAAGCTGGTCACACTGGTTGCGTAGTTCCGCAAAGCGTTGAAAGTAAAAGATGGACCTTCATTTGTAATTATTTGATTCTTTAGAATTGGTCCAGTTTTTTCATCATTATTACTATGTTTTATTAAGTATATTTCATCATATTTTAGTAAGAAACTTCCTGTTCTCTGATCTGCTCTTGTTGCCAACTGAAACTTTTGTCTATACCTTGATGATTAAAAAAAAGTGTTTAAAATCATCATGTTCTCTTTAAAATAGTCAGTATAAGAGATATAAGTACCTAATTACTGCATGTTGCCTTGATGTCTGTAGAAGGATTTTGCTGATTATTGTTTTTTTGCTTGTGGCTGGAATCTATTTATACTCAAGTATAAGCCAGAGCCAAGCTATTTTGGTCACAGATAGATGAGTAGACGGGGATAGCCTTTTAATATTCTTTTTGGATACAAAGAAGCTTTGTGTGCTTGGGAACTGATTTTGGAGAAAACCAGATCATTATAATGCTTTTTGAAAATAAAGTTGAGTCACATTGAGTGATGCCAATAAGGAGGCCCAATGATTAATATAATAATAAGAAATCTAGTATGAGTATCTAGTCCTCTCTTTCCTCCTTTGACCATAATGTGGACCTCAACATTCACACAAATATCTAATTATATAGTAATATAATTAGGTGGTAATAAAATCTAATATATATATAACAGTTGAGTTTAAATTTGCCTGGTTCTCACTGAGAAGCGATTACTACATAGGTTGGTCACAATAAGAGCCACATTTACCACATTGTTTACTGTATGTGTTTCTGTTAAAGGGGAAGATAAAAATTTTAGGAAATTAGCATATTTCTTTTTCTTTTCTGAGAGGTAGAGGAAAGGGTTAATCTAATGTCTGTGTGGGACTAAAGATACGAAGCTATAAGCCTAGCTTAGAATAAAAATGGAGGCAGAGAACAACAGCTAATGCTTTACTTTAACACCCCTATTTAGCATTTATAAACTGTTTATACCCAATAAATGAATAAGAAATGCTTTGTAACACATCATAATGAAGATGTAAGTGTTTATTAATGTATTTGTCACCAACTACTGTATAACTCATCCTGTGGACACTGTAAATGGAGGTTGGTGTAAACGGATAATGAATGAAAATATAGTAAAATACAGTTGTAAAGAAACCGTTTAAAAGGTTGTCTGTGTAGGCCTACAACAAAATTATAGTGTTGTATTCACTCCTTATTTGCATTTTATTTAGTGCTTATAAATGCTAGAAGTACATTTTTAGAGAAACACCTAGCCTGGCTCTGTCCACGTCTCTAAAGCTATTAACATGTTATATGTCATTATATGTAATAGCACACTTTACAACAGTGGTCGACAACAAGTGGCATTATAGCGGCTGGTGCTGAAATAGATCTCAGTCATGACAGCAAAAGTTACTCACATAATCACTTCCTCTTAAGTGATTGTGCCTACAAAATAAAAGCGCGAGAATGTTTTTGACAGCAGAACTTTGTGGTGTTTAATTGAGAGCTTTTATTTTGAAAAGTCCTGAAGGAAATTCAAAAGCGTCTCTGGCTTGCTTTTCACACCTCTGAAACACTCAAACAAGCACGCTGGGAGTAGGGGCAGTAGGTGAGGTAACAGTTACTAGTAACCACAGTTTCTAATCGACTTTAAACTGAGGACGCTGAGGTTAACCAAGTTTGCTGAAACTGTTTTAGAGAGGTGTTGATTCAATTGCATGCTAATTTATGGTTAGAATGATCTGATATGTAGTGTTGTTGCATTGTATTGTGTTATAATGATGGGTGTTTCTATTATTTTGTCCAACCCCATTAATATCAATAAGGGGTACACTAACTAAGTGAGACACCTCTCTGTACAATGCAGTGCAGTTCAACTGCACCACCAACTGCAGCCTTCAAAATGATCTTTAAGTTGAATCAATAATTCCCTGTGATTTAGCTGTTAATTTCTAAGCTCTTTCTAAGTTCTCTGAGACAGCCGGAGCAGGGCTGAATATAGACAGATGCAACACTAGAGGATGTCTAGCAAAGGTCCTCTTGATTGATACTGCTTAAGTCATGAACACTGAGTTTGTGTGTTTGCAGCCCTCCCCGTTCTAAACCAGTCACCTGGTTTATGTGAGATTTATTGGAATCATGTCTCCACGTGAGTTTGTGTGTGGATGAGGGGATGAGGTTAGGCTTGACCCGTGTATTTGGGACACAAGTAGATTTGAATGCAGACTATGGGGGGCTAAAAATAACTTACTGCTCCTGGCATAAACAATGTCTTCCGCTCTCTCTGTGGCAGCTTTAGCTTCAGTCTCGTTTCCACAGCAGCATGGAAAGCAGTTTTTCTGCAGTGGTTTTGCACCAGGGGTGTTATTAACCTATTTTAACAGAAGAAGCATAAGGACCAACACACAAATAAAAAACGCAATGGTTCAGCACTCCCTTCAGTGAGACAAAATAGTGCATTTTCATATAAGAATATTTTTCAATAACCCTTTATACTCATAAACATTACCTACCTTTTTGGCCTTTGAAATTTTGTTCCTGGTCCACACTTTCTGACCCCCCCCCCCCCCCCAAAACGAACACAAACCTCAGGCTGCTAGTCAAACATGGGCGCTATAGCTTGTGTACAGCTTCATTTGCATTGTGCAGCATTGGATGCCACTAGAATGGATTCTAGAACAAGGGGACTGACATTTCTGGTAATGAGTCTAAAAAGAGTGAGATAAAGAGAGTGCCTGTAAATGAGAGTGAGAAAGCTAGCATATGAGCAAGAGTTACCAAGCTTTATTTACTATTTGATTCCATACAGATTATATTATTATATTATATCCTTTAAATATACTCTCAAAAAAGTGAGCATAGCCGTCACATTTTTGTAAGTATTTGATTACATCTTTTCCTGTGACAATACTGAAGAAATATTTTACGAAAACGCTTGTTTTCAAACTCAGCTACTAGGCCAGCATTGATAGCCTACAGTTTATTTTCAGGCCTGGACTTAGAAATGTACTGAAACCACCATCAAACTGTGTAGTAGCCTATTTGCACCACTGATGTTACTATGTTTTAGGCTACAGCCTAATTATAATTTACTTAAACTACAATAAGCTATATTTTTTATGTAGTACTTTACGGTGTTACTATGTAGATGGGTTTCTGTGCAACGTCATCATTGAGATGCGCACACAACTAGGGGGCAGAAAGCAGTAATCTGTCTTCGGGGCATATCAGTTTATATGGCATATCTAACAGCAGTGTTGGGCAAATTACTCAGAAATTGTAATGAGTAACTTTTGACATATTACTCATTTAAAAAGTAACAATATTACTTTACTTATTACTGGGTATTAAAAGTAAATAGTCACATTATTTGTTACATTACAATTACTTTCAACCACTGTACCCCATCCTTAAAAGTGATGGGAAGCCTGTTCAGCAGCGCATTTTAGAAATGAATCCACTTTACTGGAGCAATAATTAACCTGAGGAGTCAACAAACAGCCGGACTGAAAACACTGCAGCCTCTCAGACCAGAAGACCGCTGTATTGTAAAGGCTATGGCTATTTAAAAATAATAAAAAACAAAGCAGGTCCCTCCCGACATTTTAACTAATCACGTATTCACAGCATCAATGAGTAAGATTTTTACAATACATACAGACTAACGTTTTTTAACGCCACTGTCTGAGATAAAAAAAAATAATCAAGTGTTTCGACTTTTGAACCAACATTACTGTTTTGCACATGCACTGATAAAAGAAGTATTCAGTGCTTTTACAAAACACAAAAAGTTGATTAACACCATTCTCTCCTGCCGAGCGGATGTATCACTGGCATTAACGGTAGCTGCTGGAGTATCTTTCTACAGGCTAAGTTTCATGTTTCTCAGCAGATGCTTCAATACAAAATTGTTCGCGGGTTAAAGCTTTTTGCTGGTTGCACAAAGTTTACAACGGAAGACAATGTTCTTTACATCTCTGAGTGTGACACAGTTAGGCCTAATGGCAGTACTTACAGCTGTGGAAAGAATGCCTCTCTCCCTCGTTCTTCCTTTAGCTTTTTGGCTAGCAGCTCACTTGAACAGCATTAGGTCTGGTTTTGCTGACCTGCCCCCTGGCTGTGCGTGCATCCAGTAGTGTTTGTATACCAGAAATCCGTCTATAATGTACTTTAATTACACCCAGTACAGTAATTTAATGTGTACAGTAATTTGAAAAGCATTTGAAATAGCTGTACTGTATTTTGAAACAGTCAATACAATTCTATAAATAGTGAAGCTTTCAGTTTCATTACAAATATATACATGTAACAAATATACAAAAGTCAATTGGATGGCATCTGTATAAAGTTAGTAGCTTGTCCTACCTCACTCAGTATGCCACCCAGCTTCTGGTACAGGCCATGCTTAACTCTCGCCTCGACTATTGTAACGCCCTCCAAGTGGATATTGTAGCTTGTGCCGTGAAACCCCTGCAAATGGTTCAGAAAGCAGCAGTGCGTCCGGTTTTTGATCAAATTCAAATCACTAATGCTTACATACAGCTACTACTGGGTCTGCACCCATCCACTTAAACTCCATAATACAAGCTTACGTTCCTTCTTGGCAACTGCGCTCTTCCAACGAACGCCTACACACAAAGCAATCTCAGTCCCGGCTGTTCTCATCTGTCTCACACGCCATCAGAGCAGGGCCATCCCTCTCTAACTTGGAGAAGCTCTTGAAAACTGAAATCTTTTCTGGAGCGCACGAGCGCATCCTGGTTTCCCTGCCTCCAGCCGTTGCTGGCGGGACAGCTGTGGAAACTCCCCTGGAGGGGGGATGCCCTCTCTCAGGTGGGGGGCGCGATCAGGAGTTGTCCGCTTCTCTGATGCTGAGAGGCGGCGCCTGGAGGGTCTAGGTCTCTCCTGTGAGGTGGTACACACCTGGGTCGAGAGCCGCCTCTACTCAGTCCTCTTACTCCTCCAAGTGGTCAGCGTTCCAACGCTGGTGTTTGAACCAGGGGTTGGAACTGTTGGCCTTTCTGCTGCCGGGGGTGCTTTCATTCCTCCAGCTGCTCGTGGACAGGGGTCTGGCGTTCAGCACGGTTAAAACCTACGCTGCTGCCATCTCGTCCTGTCACAAGGGTTTTAGTGACAGGAGGTGTTCACTCACCCCCTGGTGAAGCGTTTCCTGAAAGGGGTGCGGAGGCACAGACCGGTGAAACAGCCTGTTGTTCCACAGTGGGTTTTGGTGCTGGTCTTACAGACGCAAACCCAAGCCCCTTTTGAGCCTTTAGAGACAGCAGACCTGAAGTTTCTTTCGGCCAAGGTCTCCTTACTTGTGGCGCTGACATCGGCCAAGAGGGTCAGCGATCTGGCAGCCCTCTCTATGGCTCCGTCGTGTCTCAGGATTCAGGGTGACAGCAGCTCGGCTGTCCTGTGCACCAATCCTGCATTCATGCCTAAGAGCTTCACCAGCTCCTTTCAGTCACGGGTGATTACTCTATCGGGCTTCATTCCTTCCCCCCATGGGTCTGAGGACGATTCTACATCCCACCTCCTCTGCCCAGTGCGTGCGCTGTCCAGTTACTTGGCGTGCACGGCCGCCTGGTGCCGTTCGCAACGCCTGTTTATGCACTACAGGGAGTAGTCCAAGGGACTTCCCCTGTCGGCCGGTGAGTCCCCTCGGGACGGCATCAGGGCGCACTCCACGAGAGGTGTCTCGTCCTCTGTGGCGTGGGGTGGGGTGTCTCCTGTTTCTCGCTGACTCGCTCAGGACTGAGTGTTTTAGCTGAGTGATTTTCTCTTGTGAGTGTGCGGTGCGCCCTCTCCCATGTGACAGTGGGGGGGAGCGGCCACTGCTCGCGCTGGCCCTGCTCCGTGCGCAGCTGATGCAGTTGCTGTTGTGCCCCCGCCTGCTTCTGTACAGCTGCTGGGCCACCCATCCTGTTCCCCGATTGTTACACATGGGTCGGTCCCCTGCTTCCCATGTCATGCCATCAGTGCTTGTGTGCACGCCAACACCAATGTCGCGGACAGCAGGTGACTGGGTGGCTCATTTATGGCTCTGGGCAGGTGGGTTTTGTGCTTGGTGGTACCGTATGGGACAGTGAAGCGTTGACTTATCCTGCTTTGCCTCCAACCCAATAGCGATAGCCTAAGAAGGCAAAGTCTATACAAAATAGAAAGGTAGTCACGTACTGTAACTCCAGATTCTATGAGTATAGGCACAGCTCTCTAAGGCTATCGCTATTGGGTTTACCCCTCCGCACCTGTGCGGCACTGAGAAAAGTTGTCTACGCCCACCCACAGCGTGGGCCTCTCCTACGTCCGCACCTTGTATATATACAATGGTGAGACCTGGCCTTCGGCTCCCAAAATGCCTTTTCTTCAGCACTGAGAACCAAGGTCCAGTGAGGCCATGAACTTAGAGGGCTGCGCCTATACTCAAATGTATGTCGCTCAAGATAAAAGCTTTTCAAATTAGTAAATGGAATGTAAATGTAGCTGAAGAGTTTTGTTGGTGTGTTGCTGTTGCTCGCAATAGAAATCCTGCCCAGGATTTCAATCTTACATAGTGCCAGTGTCCCGTCAAAATGATATTTTAGGATAAAATGCTTCATAATGTTGCTGTTGCGCACACAGCTGTTTCACACATGCTCACACGCACACAAAGATAAAGACACTACTACATGAATGCACCAAAACACACACATTCATGCACATGCAGAGTCAGGAGTAAAGATGAGGGCTGGTTGGATGAGTGAGTACCAGGAGTTGTCAGAAGTAGGTCACTGGGTCGGAGCTCAATGTGAAACTGAACCACAGCTTCACTTTCGTTACATCGCACACAGCTCCTGCTGCTGCACCGAAGTATATGACTGTAGATCAGACATTCACACTGTGTTTTCATTGGTACATGGCTTGTGGCAGTATATACAGCTATTACTACAATCTACAAATCTGTTTAATTGCTGTCTAACTGCTTTTGTTTACTAATTTTTTGGGTTCAAACCTATGAACAAAAAGCATAACAGGAAAAGAAAGTCATTCAACTCATAACAACCATGTGCGTGTGCAGGTTGGTGTTTGAGGTATCTCATTATGCTTATGTTTAGTTGGCTGTGGTTAAACCCTCTTTCCACCCCCAGCTGACTCACATACAGATGTGAACATGTGGCTAAGTCTATTTCTGTTCCTCCATCTTTTGCAGAAAATCCTTTCCGTCGCAGCACGCTACTCTTGCATCCTTTGCAGCCGTCTATGTTTCGGTAAGTAATTGAGCCCACGTAAACACTTAAGACAAGGGGAGGCTGACTCTGCCATTACATTAATGATGCTTGGTGCTCATAGCATGGTCAGTTGATGGTCAATCCTTCCCAGATGTACAGTTTTTAATGATAAGATGTTGCCCCTATTATGTGGCAGAGGACTCACACCAGTGTTTTTGTTGCTGCTGTTTACATTCTCACAGATGCTAATTTAAAAAATGCACAATAGCAACTGTATGAGGTCATCAGCAGTCACATGACAAAACATATGGATGGTGTTTTAATTGTAGTTGGTGATTTTAATCAAACAGATGTTTGAACTGTTCTGTTCCATGTCGACACCCCTACCCCTACATGGTCCAGGGAAGTAATAAGCTGGACCATGTTTATACAAACATTTCTGGCTGCTACAAAACCCCCCCCCCGTCCCCATTTTTGGTCAATCACACAATTTTCCCTGCTTTTCCAAAGAAAATGCATTTTCAGTCAGGCAATTAGGAAGCTTACAGCACCACCAGAGTGAGACTGAAAGCTGGCATCATGGAGGCAAAGTGGAGATATCAGGAGAGACTGGAGAGAGACCTCAACACCAACAACACAAAGAGTCAGCTGTCAGGTCTACTCCACCTCCACAGGCCTGGCCACTGTCAGTATCCACAGCAGATGTGAAAAGAATTCTGCTGAGAGTGAATATGAGTTAAGCTGCATACTAAAACATGTGCCATGCAGCTAGTCGATGTCATAAGTGACATTTTTAACATATCACTGTCACAGTGTTCCTACCAGCTTCAAGAAAGCCACCATCATCCCTCTACCTAAAACGTCTGCAGTGTCAAGTCTAAATGACTCTTGTACTGGCACTCACCCCTATACTGATGAAGTCCTTTATGAAGGTGGTTTTCCAGCACATAAAGAACAACATCTCAGCCAGCCTGGACCCTCAACACTTTGCGTTCAATACCAACAGACTTAGCACTCTGGGCTTAAGTATTATACTCTGCAACTGAATATTGGACTTCCTCACAGAGTTCAGACAGTTCGGATTGGTGGACTTTCCTCCTCCACTCTAGTGCTCAACACTGGAGCCCCTCTGGGTTGTGTGCTCAGCCCCCTCCTGTTCACGTTGTACACCCACGACTGCAACCATCGACATGGACAATCAATCCACTCTGTTGAGAAGTTTGCGGAAACACCACCATCATCGGCCGCTGCTCAATGTCAACAAAATCAAGGAGCTGATTTTTGGTTTTTAGAAAATAGGAGACTGAGACCCACATCCCTGGCTACATCAGTGGAGCGGAGGTGGAGCAAGTGAACAGTTTAAGGTTCCTCAAGTCAAGCCAAATCAAGTCAAATGTATTTATAAAGCACATTTAAAAGCAACCCACACTGACCAAAGTGCTGTTTTAAACCAGAGCAAGTAGCTCTCTTTCCTCAGACTGAGACCCCTCAATGCATCCTTTGTACTCCACCATAAATAATAGTTTACGGTTTATTATTTTGTGTGTAGCATAAAAATACTACAGCTTTCATTTCATTGCACAACCCTGTCTTGTATAGTGATATATAAATGAACCTTGAACTTAACCCTGCTCACCGCCTCATGTATCACCTAATGATATAGTAGAAGTTAACACAGCGAAACAATGAGTGGTGGATGATGGAATCAGCTAAGATCAACTTTTCTGCATGGTTCCTTCCTCCATGCTATTTTTGCCTCACTGTTTTTTAGGACTAAAAGCATTCATGTTTTCTTCCAGGTGAGTTTTAATCTCCATGCACTATAAACACAAGCAGTGGCTGTTGGCCAATAGAGGGAGCTTGGGTGTCTCCCCACCACTCACCACATTACATTACATTACATTTAGCTATGTATCCATAAGCATAATGAGGAGGATGACAAAAACAGGCACATACTATCTAAAATATTAGACTGTTTCTAGTTCTGTGGATAGAAAGATATGTTCACCAACTTAAACTCATTTTCAAGATCTCACTAGAGAACCAGTGTGCTTAATAGGGTGGTGGCACACAGACTCCCAAGAGCAAGAATAGTAGGATGGAACTTCCACATCCGTGCTCTGAGTGCAGTGTTTGAGAACAAAGATGACCTCCTCCAGTGTTCTGATCTTGTGCTCCATTAGAATGACAAAATTATTTTCACAAGCTAAAAGTTAAATTCTGTTTCCTCTGGAGAGTTTCCTCTGTCCTGTCATGTCAAGTTTATATCTACTAAAGTTTTAATTATTTTTTTTTTCTGCTTAAATGTCCAATGATATTTGCTGTGACTTTACTGCGCACATGGTAACATTTAGAGAAGAGAGGAGACAGGAGGAGAGGAGGTGTCTGTCTGATAAACCACAGAGCTGCACCGTAACATTAGGCTTCATGATCAGAAATAGTTTTTATATCACGTCCACACTTCAGTCCATATCTCCCCCTCTGCTGTGAGTCTGCCATTCAATCAATCAATTGATGTTTTTTATAATGCACCATTTATAGGCTATTATAATTGTAATGCGCCAATGTACAAGCGCACCTGGTTTTTAAAGAGAATGGGAGATGAAATTCTGGTTTATTGCATGTCATGCCGAAAACACACCCATGACTAATTCATAGACTAAGTACAACCCTTTTGAACCATGCGCCTGACACACTCACCATTTTTTCTGCCATCAAACTAGCAAAATTGGAATTGGACGTGCCCAAACACAACTGCAACATGTGCTTCACGGTGTGCGCATCGTTAAAATAGGGCCCTTAATATTGGAGTAATGTGCCCCTAAAATAACAAAAAACAGCAATGCACCCACAATTTACCTGACCACACCTCATTTTAAGATAAACACTCCCATGGGCACAAAGATGGGCGGAAGTGCATTTGCTATTCAAACAACCTAGGTGCTGGGCGTGAAAATGACAACTGCGTTGGCACTTACACTGCGCTTTGTGCCGGATGCAAGATAAGGCCCTATGTCCCACGTATCTAGTAACTTGAAAGCTCACACAGCATCTGGATGCTCCATTAGGTACTTGTGTATTCTGTTGTACCGATATTCAGATTTGAAAATGTAATCAACCATCGACACATTCTTGTGATCCAGTCAAACTCCGACCCAGTGACCTACCTCTGACAACTCCTGGTACTCACTCCTCCAACCAGCCCTCATCTCAAATGTGTGACTCATACTGCCAAATCTTTTTCCTGTTTTAAAAACACAGAGCCCAATTTACAATTGACCTATCTTACAATGTTAAAGAAAGTGGAAAACAATTTCTGTCTTGTGATTTGGATCCGTTCCAAAATGTAATGGGTTCTTCCTTGGGCCCTGCTGCTCCCTTCTACCTAGTTTAATGAAAATCTGGCCAGTAGTTTTTCAGTAATCCTTCTAACAGACAAACAGCACTGAAAATAGAAGTAATCATAAGAATAGTAGAATCAGTAAATATGTCATGTGTCCACAGATGTACTTCAACAGCACGTTGACGGACTCATCCAAGCTTCTCAAGCCCCTGCTGGTCTTCTCCTTCATTATCTGTGCCATCATTTGTGGTCTGACCCGGATTATTCAGTACAAGAACCACGCCATTGACGTCTACCTGGGCTTCCTACTTGGAGGAGCTATTGCTGTCTACCTGGTAGGGGACAGCAGTGTTAATTTGACAAGAATTTTAAATTACGTTTTAGTCTTAGTCACTGCTGGAAATAGTAGGTTTAAAGTCAAATTTTTTTTGTCTTTTTGTTTTGCTTTGTTTTAGTCTGATTTCATCAGTGGATATCTTTGTAGTCTGATTTTAGTCAATGTTTTAGTCATAATTATCATACGATACAGTACTAAATTTGCTGAAGGGCATTCTAGCCATAAAAAATCCTTTTAGAAGTAAGCATACCTTGAAATATGTGTTTAATTATCTAGGATGAGAATGTTTTATCGACTTGATGTTCTGACCTGGCTTGTGGTTCCACTCATTTGTAATGACCAACTTATTTGCATTGCGTTGCGTAGCCAGAACTAGTTTACCACGCTGCAATCTAGGTTCACTCTTGTCTGCTGAAAGAGGGTTGATTTAGTGTTACAGAAAGTAAAGCAAAGAGATCAACCAAAAATGTACCAAAACCAACTTGAAGTCTCTAACCAACCTAATTTATGTCAATTTAAGCTCATGTTTTCTGTAAGTCTATTCAACATGGTTCGACAACTCAATAGGGTTTCAGGTAAAATAAGCATAACGTAAAATGTACTTTACATATTATTTCTCTTTCTCCGGCCAGGGGTTGTATGCAGTTGGAAATTTTCAGCCTAGTGAGGACGCCTGTGCCAACCCCCCTTCACTGCTACACCGCCCCCCCTGCTCCTTGCCACACATAAGCCAAGAGGCCATACTCCACCACCTGCAAATGAAAGCTACCGTGACCGGGGAGCCTGGCATACCCACCTCCCACTCCGAGGGCCTCCTCCACCGAGGCCTTCAACAGCAGAGACCTAATGAGAGTCTGAAGTGCTCCAGTGCAGATGTGGAAGTGATCTCCCCCCGCAGCCCTCAGAGCAAAGATGCCATAATGACATTTAGCCACACACTTCCTCGGGTCCACACCCCACAGGCCATGGCAGCTTATGAGGAAGCAGCCAGACGTCACGCTGCCACTCTCCACCATGCCTCCATGGACTCCAGCCGCTCAAAGCAGCTTCTGTCTCAGTGGAAAAGTAAGAACAACAATCACAAATGCTCCCTGCAGGTCCCAGACTCCTTCTCCTCCTCTATAGACTCGTCATCTGGCCAGTCCTCCCAGCATCCGCACCACCATGGCAGCATGGAGCTCCGATCCAGCTCTGAGCCATCAGCTATGGGCCTAAATGGAGGCTTTGAGGGTCATGCGTACATGTCCAAACTGGCCACAGGTGCTAGTACCACCCTGCCCAGTAACTGTAGTGGCATCACCGGAGGGGCCAGGATATCCATGCAATCTAGACCTGGGTCTTCACAGCTGGTCCACATACCAGAAGAAGCTCATGAGAATTACAACACCACCTCCCCAAGGACGGGGGGAGGAGGAGGGAGTGAAGGGATGTCAACATTAAACAGCACAGTTCAGGCTAACTGGCAAAGGGCAGCAGAGAAGACTGCAGCCTGCAGGACTAATGATAATGGGCAGAACACGCAGCCCCGAATCATGCAAGTGATTGCTATGTCCAAGCAGCAGAGCCTGCTACAGATACATTCCAAGAGCTTAGATGAGAGCAGCATTGGGTGCAGCACCACCGGGAGTGGCCAGGGCTCTGCTCGCTACAGGGTGCTAACCGATCAGGACCCCACTAGCACCACAGGGCCCAGCTCACTGGGTAGTACCACAGGCAGTATTTCAGGGAGCACGGGAGCAATTGTCAGAGTAGAGGCTCACCCTGGAAACAACAGGCCTGTGATCCAAGCTCCGTCTACAGATGGAAGTGGATCATGGAGGTGGCGATCCCTCGATCATGGAACTGGAGCTGGTGGAGGACCAGGGACTAGTGGAGCAGGAGGAGAATCAGGAGGAGGAGGTGGGAGTTTGAGGCAGTCCTTTGAGCTAAATGATCTAAACAGAGACTCAGAATGTTCAGATTCGATACGTGAAGGGTCGATTGACAGAAAGCGTGCTAATCACATTGTTACAACCACTGCCACCGTCAGCACCCCACCCATAGTTACTGTTCACACCCAGAACACCAACCAGTCAGAGCAGAGGCTTCATCCCCAGGGCCTCTCTACCATAAGGGTCACTCCGGGGGATGGTAGTGGTTCTGGATCTGGAGGAGGAGGTGGTGGAGGAGGTGGAGAGACGGCTTCGGAAACCCCCTCGGTCGCCTCCAGTCGTGAGTCCACACTGCGGAGGAAAGGCAATAATATCATCCTGATTCCAGAGAGAGCCAACAGCCCTGATAACGCACGGAACATTTTCTACAAGGGAACATCGATAACTCCAGTTTTCAAGGACTAATGTACTAAATGACCGGAGACTTCTGAGAAGATGTAGCTAATAATGTAAGACAGCTGGATTTTCAGTGAACCCCATATCTGTGATAACAGTCATTATTGCCTGCCATTGTATATATCATGATAACTTCAAAAGAAAAGGTTTTATTCAGCATGAGATTTTTGTACGTGTTTACACTAAATCACAACCTTTTAAGTATAATAATCACTGTGTACTCCTGAGGAAATCTATCGTAATGTCAATGCTGTGCCAGTGCTTTGGGGACAGGAGAACCTTTTTTAAACAGTTCCATATGTTTTAGATATAAATCATCACAAAATAGAAAAAAGTGAATAGCACAGTAACGTAGCAAGCTACAGCAAAAATAATTATGTCATAGCTGTGAAACCAGTGTTTCCTTCCCAATCCTTCCCTGCACTGTAAATATTGTGTATGTTTAAAAGGGTGCTACACCAGATAATACTATTTACTATACAACATACTGTATACTTTGAATAGATAAAGAATTAATTATTTTACAAAGAGTGAATAACAATGATATTAATATGTGACAGAGATATGTTTTGTATTTTGTCTCTTTTCTGTACAGATACCACATAATCAACGGAATACTGTTTTGAACCATAAGTGTGCTTAGCATTCCTTCTGTAGCTATGAAGTCAAATATGCTGTGACTTGCACTGAAATATGCGTTTACTGTACCTTGTATACTGTAAACCCTGACCTTACTATCTATATCCTGTACTTAGATTTCGTTGTCCATGTCAATCCCATTACCTACAGCACACAAAAAGCAGCAAAACAGCGGAATATTATGCTTCTTTATACCATAAGGTACATTTCCAAAACTCAATGCTAAACTTGAACTCAAGTTTCCCAACTGAATTTGGCATGTTTCAATGTGTTTAAAAGCTGTCTTTGTAGCTTTCAAATTAACATTTTAAAAAATACACTTGCTGCTGTCTAATCCACAGCTGAACATTAACATTAGTCATCGAGTGGGGTAGTTATTTCAGAGGTGTCCGGGTTTCTGAAATAAAAAACATGTCTTTGCATGTATGCATTTTTGCATTGACACGGTTAGGTGAATCGCAGTTGGCGCTCTTCCAAGGATTGGATGGGCATGCAACTCTTCCAATTAAACCACAAAAGATGAACAAATGCCATACCACACCAAAAAGAAAAATGTAATTTCTCATAAACAAAGTTGAAATAATTAAAACTGATGCCCAAAACATACCCTTACAGCATTGTCACAGTATCCAGGAGCCTCCCATTTTTCTATGTTGAGGAACGTTGAGGATGTGAATAAACAAACATTTATAAACAGCAATGTACAGTAGGGAAAGAATAACCTTGCAACTCTTTGTTGAGTTTTATAGGGCTGTACTGAATAGTTCAAAGTTTGAAGCTTCAAAGCATCGTTCTTAACGTTGACATTCAAATGACAAATCAACATTTGAATGCTGTGCAGCTGTCTCTGGCCCCATCCACACTACTGAGTTTTCGTTTTAGAACGCAGACCTTTTGCTACGTTTGCACCTCCCGTCCAGACTAAAATGGCGAAAACGGAGACCTAAAACGGAGAGGTTTGAAATCGCCATAAATCAATAAGAAAATAACTTTTTGTTTCTCTGATTCACTAGTTTTCTAATGTACTTCACTCTCTTGACAAAAGAGACTAACTAATTTAATCTGATGAATCACTTAATTCACAATGAGAATTTTAGTTCCGATGACGACAGACATTCAAAGCTCGATTTAAAAACCACAATGGAAGCTTCAGAAGTAAAAAAAAATGACATTCGGTACAGCCCTGGAGTTTTATCTCAGTATTAGCAACAGAGATAGTTGGTCAGGGATGGGTTTAGCTTAGCTTAGTACAAAGATCTAGCTGCCTGTAGTATAGGAGATGTTGGTCCAAAAATTGTTTTAAAGTTATACCAAAAGTACAGCAATATCTTATTTTCTGTTTCTATTCATGTTGCTTTGTCATGATACAAACATTGTTGAAAGGTATTTTTCCCTTTTGGTAAGAGGCTACCAATCCCCCCTTCTTCCAGTCTTTCTGCTAAGCTAGGCTAAATATATCCAGGACCTAATTCTTTATTGGACGCAGTGCTCGAGATGAAACTGATCTTCTTGTCTGACTCTGGTTTCAGACAACAATCACATTTCCCAAAATGTTGCAATGTATCTTTAATTTTCTTTTTCTTACAACAAGCAGAGCGTTCTGTAAAGCACGGTGCTCACCATAGTAGCAAAAATGATTTGTTGATTTGTTGAAGCCCACTTTTAAAGGTACTACATGTAGCATTTTTTGACAAGATTTTACAATATTGCTGTTAAATTGTAATACCTCAGAATAAGTCTCATCATCAAATTAAAACCTTTTGGCTTTCTGGCTGAATAGAATGCTCATGTAACAGATGATTTTTGCTGGGTTTAGCCCTCCACCGTCTCCTATATGCACTTGAAGAACAACAGCTTAGTCAAGCTTTGTGCTGTAATTTCCTTTTCTGCTTTAAAGCAACCAGCAGATTCTTACCAAATCCAACCTAGTGTCAACTCAAATGCTATGTGAGGCCGGTAGATGCTGCCAGTTCTCTCAGCAACTTTCTGGTTGATGAAAAAAGGAACATATTTATTTGAGACAACTCCTATCACCATAAACAATAATCAACAATTATTTGTCTCAAATATATATGTTTCTTTTTAAAAAAATTTTAACATTAATATAGTATACTAACAGGTTGGCAGAGACAGCTAAACGAGGACTGTTTCTCAGTTGAGGAATTACAAAATATGTTGTTTACAGTAGTTTACATTATGGTGCATATCATTAATTAGTATCTCAGTGATTAAATAAGCACCCACTGTATAGAAATGGCACCAATTGTCGTTTGAAAATATTTTGCCAGGGTGACTATTTGAGAAAATTTGCCAAAGCTAGTAATGTTCATTGGAAAAGAATATAAATCATCAGATGTAATTTTCAGTATTTGTATAGAAAGCCTGCATTTGCGTATTGTACATGATTTATTCTATTCCACAGTAACATTTGCATGGTCACTTTTATATAGTGCATATCACAAGATTTTTTATCAGAAATGTGCTTTTATTTTGAAATTACAGGTGTGTTTAACAGTATGTTGTGTTTCACAGTGAGTCCTATGACAATCTTTTTTATCTAAGTACTGTTGCCCCTTTAAAGCCCCCCTCCAGTGTATTTTGACATTTCTATGATATTTCATATTTTTCTGAGTCATTTCCTTACAATGTTGATTACCCACATAGTTCTCCAAATATTTTTTGACAAATAGCTTAATTTTGTGCTCAAAGTTGCAAAAGTAGCTTAGTTGTTAAAACGGGGTGGTGACGTATGACTACAGTAATTCCATAAGTCATACGTCATTCTCCAAGCTTGCGCAGGCGCACTGTCATGCCTCGTTAAAAAACTGTCACGCCGTCACGCCTTGTTAAGTCAGAGCATCAAACCGACAAACATCGTTGTGAGCTAGCGAACCAATTTATCATGTAATTTACTTAGAACTTACAGTAGGTATGTCTCTCTGTGTCTGATTGTTGGTTTGTCTTTCTAGTTTAGTTAGCTAAGTTAATTAAGTTGTAATTAGCCAGGTGTAGTTAGCAAGCATAGTTACTGCAGAAAGTTAACTAACAGAGGGTCTTCATTTTATTTTTTAGTTTCCTCCTCTTGGTTTAGTGTGCTGTTCATTTTCATTATGGCATTTGTGCGTGCGCTGTTAGAGGACAGATGACAGAAAACGTGTTGCACTTTCTTATACTGTATACAGTCTGCAACATACATTTTACTGACGGCCGTTTTACCAATGCATTGGCGGAGGCACCCCCCATACCCCCCGCGGTAAAGTAAGCGCACCCTAAAACGTAGTGAGAGTTATCCTGTCCAGTGCGTGACAGGACCATCGATTGTATGATTGATAACAGCTGATACGCGCACATTAGTTTCTATCATGGGTAAGTAATAGCTACTCCTGCCAGACAGTAAAGTGTACTAAACTTTACAGTGTAGGGATGTTAACACAGCATATCATTAGTGAACACTCCAACCTGTCAGTTTTTGGTTGTCATGGTAATGTATTACGTCCGACTATTAACCACACCCCCATTCTCTGTTTGAGAATGAATATTAATCAAAACGGCAGTTAAAACTGGCTGGAGGGGGGCTTTAAGGTCATGGTTATAGGCTGGTTCTTTTTTGCATAAATGAAGTTGCCACTGACTCTGCATCATATAAATTGAAATGTGTGTGTCATTTAAAAAAAACCAAAATATTTTAAACACTCTTTTTTTTAATTTAAACTGTCAAGCACTTAAGTCACTGGATTTGGTATTTAACTGCACCTAATTTCTTTGTTAGAGTTGTGGAACACAATCCAATGAAGATTTAATTTATGCATGAGTTAACTAGGATCGTGTAATTTCTTTAGTCTATTGACTTAAGACATGCTAGCTGCCAGCACAGCCTCTACTGACGTACTGTTTAGAGAGACGACTTTCCAATCGAATAAACACTTGCACTTAGACTGTGTAATGTTTTATGCATATGTACAACATAGCTGAATAGGAGTAACAGTTTCTTTAGGAGAAACACCCTCTCCCAAATATTTTTTTCCAATGCAATGATATATAGATAACAGTAATACAGTGGCACTTTACTATCATAAAGGAAAACACTATATATTTTCATTTGACTATGTTTTTCTTCTTGTCATCAAATCCCATGAAAAGAAAACATGTGTGAGTCCCTCTCTCATTGCTTTAGTTCCTTACTCCGTCTGTGGCTCTCCGCTCAAACCCCATTACTTCCTACTGAAGACGTAAGTGGAGGAATATTACACTTGGTACTCTAGTGAGTATTTGGTGCAGCAGGACAGTGTATGTAGAATTTAGTCTTAATAAACTACAGTGTTCAAGGTAGTGAACGCATGAATGCAACAATGTGGCTCATTTATGTGTTTTTAATAGTTTTGGACAACAATGGAGCTCTATGGAACAGAGGAATAAGATATATCAGGCAATTCATTGTTGGTTTGGGTCTGGACATGTAATTTGATGACATCAAGAGAAATATCCTCATATTTATTTCTTTATTGTTCTTGTGTGCTTTCTTACACTGAAACTGAACCTGCAGACCAACACAAATCAATAATTGGCATCCTATAATAATAACTTTTGGCCAATGTTTACTAAATCTACTAGCCTACATACTGGAGATTGCCTTGACAGTTAAAGAAAACATACACAAAGTACAGAAGCTCATTTTTAAAGTTTAATATAGAATTGAATTATTTACTAAAGTACTCACAATTTCTTATGATTTGTACTAATTTATTCAAGAACTTTTCACACCAGCCTCCTTACAGTAGATCTATCAAGGACGACCATTTTTACTCTATACATACAGAACGTGTAATGTGTGAAACCAGCCTGTATGACCTCATCAGTTCATGGTCATCTTAACAAGCTTACATGATGTGAGGGTGCAAAATACAAGTTAGATGAAAGCCTTAACATTGTCCGTACTCCCTTTAGGATGATACATGGAAATAACAGAGATCCCCTCAGAGTAACATATCTAATACATAGATTGGATATAAAGAAAAAGATATGACGTGACCATTTCTGTGGCATTGTTTTAAATGATTTGTCTGATTGGGAGTCCTTCCCAAAGGCCTATGAAATCAAAGAGTGTAATGTGACATATGGGTAGAAATGTAGATCCAATGTGAATGGATGCTCTCTGCATGTGTAGCCTCTTGTGTTGTCCCTGGATGAACAATTAATGTTTTCTGATACTGTGATCAGCTGTATGAATTCTATGCAGCAAGAAAAGATACGCTCAAAAGGCTCAATAGTTAAGTTTTTGTGTAACAGTCAAAATAGCAAAGTACTGATTGCTTAAAGACAGTTGAACATGGTAATCACACTGAGTTTTTAGAGCACAGTGTTCAGGTTAGATGACAAATTGTGCTTTGTCCAAATGATTGGAATAAATGTTTGCTATTGAAACCAAACAATGTATTTCCTCTCATCCATGTTGCTGTTGGAATTTTATATTCACTGTTTATATTACTCAGTCATAAAAAAGAGAGCATTTTACTGACGTACCCTTGCCGATTATTATACTGCAAAATCTCCAAATGGACATGTTACTGAGTCACCAAAACTCAAGTCCATTACAAAAACTACAATTGAAGAACTCAATTGAAGAAAAAATGTAATAAGTAACAAATCACTGGCTTCAAAATTACTACTGGATTCTGAGATCTTTTTTTTTTTATACAAAATTGATTTCCTCTTTTGGATTGTAAAGTTACATTTGATTTGATTTAAATGAAACAAAGAAATGATAGTAAATACAATAAACATTATTATATGTATTTCTTCCACTGTGTTGCAATTAAATGTTATAAGGGTTATTCTATTGAATATATAACATCATTGAAATAACAGCAGCAGAAGCTGGATTCTTTAGATAGTCTGGCAAACAAACAGCCAAGTGTGTGTGTGTGTGTGTGTGTGTGTGTGTGTGTGTGTGTGTGTGCATGCATCTACATGTGCATGTTGAAATATCTTTGGTCAAGATACAGAGCCCCAAATTGTTCCCAATGGCTCTGCCATCAGTGTATGAATGTGTGTGAGTGGGGTGAATGTGATATGTAGTGAAAAGTGCTTTGAGTGGTCGAAGACCAGAAAGGCGCTATATAAGTACAGTCCATTTACCATCAGATCAGTCAAACAGATGAAAGCTGAGGTTTGTCCACACTGAAGATGCATAAAGAGAAAAAGGGAAGCAGATGCCTTTTTTCTGTTCTTCAAAATAAAATCCATTGTCTTCAGTGAAAAATCTATTCTTATTCTAGTGTCTACTAGAGTACTGGAAACAAAGCTAAGAAAATATAAATGAGATTGGAAAAAATGGAGAATCTTTGTTCTTTGTCCAAAAGGAGGGAAACTCCTCCAGTGCATGCACAATAATATATCTTAACAGCAAGCTGGGTCATGCACATTGAGACCGGCTTGAATCTGTCTACTGGCTTTATTGACAAGTTGATGTCATTAGTCGTAGGCCACACTTAGTAGTTATAAACAGGGGCAGGCTTCACACACAGGTGTTAAACATTATGTTATGATGTGGGGACAGAGTGGACCCAAACGCAACACTCAGGATGAACAGGTTTTATTGAAGGGAAAAAGGGGTTGAGGGAGTGGAGGTGAGGGAGAGGGGAAACACGGGCACAGGGAACGTCTCGGGTTACGTATGTAACCCTGGTTCCCCGAGAAGGGGAACGAGACACTGCGTCGGTTACGACACTATGGGAACGCCTCTAGGCGTAGCAGGTCTGAACGTGAATGAAATCACTCCAATCCTATTGGCTTGTTGCTAGAACGGTAAGGTGTGACGGAATAACCGGAGGAGTATAAAGCACACCTGTACACACTCATCACTAGCTTAAACTATGAAGCAGGCGCTTCAGGCGGGGAGAGAGGTGCGGCGGGCCGACGCAGTGTCTCGTTCCCCTTCTCGGGGAACCAGGGTTACATACATAACCTGAGACGTTCCCCTTCGAGGGAACTCGAACTGCGTCGGTTACGACACTATGGAAACGAGATACCCACTAAACCGTGCCGAGAGGGCACGAGAGGCCGCCATGCCTCTGGTAGAATGAAGCCCTCACAGCCACAGGTGAAGGCAAACTGCGTTTTGAGGGTCAAGTGCTTAGCCTCAGCTGACTCCAGGGGTTCGAAGGGGGCCTCAGCCAACGCCCCAAGAACCACCGCCAGATCCCAAGTGGGAACCTTGGACAGAGTCGCAGGTGAAGTCTCCATTCCCCGGGCCTCAGCCCCTGCCTCGACAGCAGGTCTGCTCCCTGATTCTGTGTCCCCGGGAGATACATTGCCCTGAGTAATAGTAACCTCTGCTGGGACCACAGGAGGACCTGACGCACCAGTCTGTACAGAGGGTGCGAGCGCAGACCGCCCTGGTGATTCAGATAGGCCACCACCGCTGTGTTGTCGGAACGAACCGGGACGTGGTGGCCTTGGAGATCGGGCAGGAAACTCCTTAGAGCCTGGAACACCGCCAACATCTCGAGACAGTTGATATGCCACTCGGATTGATGCACCTGCCAGGATCCCCTTGCAAAGCGGCCGTCCATGACCACGCCCCAGCCTGTGAGGGAGGCGTCTGTTGAAATGACCAGCCGGCGACAAGACCCTCCCAGCACGGGCCCCTGGGACAGGAACCA